AACTGGGAAAACATTGGTAAGTTTCTGTAATATTTTCTTGCAAAACATAAAAAAATTATAATGTTTATAATATGATAAGAAGAAGGAAAACTTTATTGGCGTAACTAGGATCTTTGTCTGAGTGGAACCAAATACCTTGACTTTATTTACGTATAGTTTATATACCATAGATGTACATATATATGTTGGTTGCACAAATAACGTTGCAGATTTTACGATAATTATTTATCTATTTATTTAATACTAAAATTGAGAATAAGATAATGTAACGATAGTTCTTAAAAATAAAACAAAAATACAGAAAGCAACACAATTTGTGATTAACGAAAAATTGAATTAACGATTTGTGAGATTATTTTTATTAAGATAATATTATTGAATAATCGAGAGATGTGTGTGCGATAGAAGTAATTGACGATCACAAAATATTGTGCGCGAAATTGGCGTATATAGACTTGTGTCAATGATTTGATGTTATATTTAAAAAAATGAATAAGATATCGAGTAAAACAATATTATCGACAAAATCAATTTCAGAAGTTTAGTTCCGAAGTGGTTTACAAAATTCGATCCAGTCGAGTGTAACTATACCTTCTTTGACTATGCCAAATACCCGAGTCCGTAAATAATATTCCATGCGGTGTACCGCCGCATCTATATTTGAACATAAATCCGTTTGGTCTGCCATCGAATTCCGGTTTATTCAACATCTCGGTAATAGCATCTATTCCGGAAACTATAATCGTCGGTTCCTGTATACCTAATTTAACACTAAAAACTGGACCATACTTCTCCGCCAATTGGTTCCAAATGTTGGCAGATATTTTCTCTCTCCTCACTAGCTTCGCAATATCGAATAAGTTTCCAACGATAGGCAAGCCCAGGGGTCCTTCATTCAAATAAAATAAACGGTGATTACATGCAGTTCTCGCAAGCTAATTTGTAAAAATTCAAAGCATTAACCTTCCAACCGAGATGGACCAATATTAACTCACCATTTGTGTTCGCTGTTGCCTTACGTATAACTACTTTTCATTTTTTTTTCAAATTCGACTAATAATTTTTTTATTTATGTGTATTTATTTAATATATATTTAATAACTTAATCGCGACAACTTAATCGACTCTACCTTTCTTACAGAAAATTTATAGCTTAACCCTTGTTGGTACAACCAAAATTGCCATAATATTTGAAGTTTAGTCATCTAAAATATTTCATATAAATTGTTTTCCAAGAAACCTTAATCGTAGAAAATTAGTAAAAGAAAATATAGGAATGAATAAATCATGATATATCTAATGGGCTACATCACCTGTACATAGTAAATAATAATAATAATAATAATAATAATAATAATAATAATAATAATAATAATAATAATAATAATAATAATAATAATAATAATAATAATAATAATGATAATGATGATGATGATAATAATAATGATGATGATGATAATATAATAATGATAATAATAATGATGATGATAATAATAATAATGATAATAATAATAATAATAATGTAATTGTTGCTTGACGTTTCACAAACGTTCGCCAAATTAGAAAATCTCTCAGTTGAAAGGTTAACAATGGCATAATGCCGACATAAAAGCCTCAGTTGTATGTAGACCACGGATTTTATAAATTTATCAATAAAATAAGAAGACAAAACAACTTTCTGCTTCCCGTTCCTTGCAATCGATGAACAAACTTTTTATTTCGCAAAAAGATCCGCAGTCTAATTACATGAAATATATTTTTCGAACTACGGAAAACGTTGAACTTGTACCGATTGGCTTCCAAAGTCTCCGTAAGTAAAAATATATTTATTACATTATTAAATATGTTTCACGGCGTTTAAGAATCTTCTGCATGAAATACGTTACCTGGAGGAGATTTTCGCTGTCGTCTGCAATCGAGCAGCACTTTCAAAATTAACACAACTACGAGCGTTAAGATGCCAAACCACATTGTTGGTTCACTAAATGATTTTATTGACGTACACCGATTTATTCACTGATGTCTGTGGATTTTTCGACCTAAATGCACTAAAACGTTTCACGCTTTTTCTTTTTGATACAATTTAGATTACTACGTTTTTGGAAAGAATACATTTGTCAATTTTTCCGAGCAAGAAAATCGATTTCGAACTGTCCCATTGCAATTTCACGAATGCAATTCTTTGCGAATAAATTCAATTGAATAGTTTTGTACAACGACGTGGACTGTCCTGGTGCATTATTTAACAGATTTGACTGGGTTAGCAACTTAGACGAAGGTACACGTTCTCTCTACAGCAGCAGTTGTGTTAAACTGCGGGATTCCGATTCGAGCGAATGATATAAATCACGTAACACTTTCACCGCTTATTTGTAAAGACTACCGAAGTTCGGGATTTCGTGCGTGTATGGCCGAGAATTCGTACGATTATCACTGCGCCCGAAAGGCAGACTTGAAATTGTGAAATGACCTCGTTACTGCAGGTTCTTATGTACTACGCGGTGTGCAGCGATGGGAACACGCGACACACGTGGTCACAGGTGGACAGTAACTCTTTCCACTTATGTGCTTGTTGAATGAAACTACTAATGCTACTACTGCGTGTTTATTCAAGTCTGGAACTTGTTAAAATAGACAAGCTGAATACGCATTTGCAAAAATGCAATTTCATTCGTTTTTCTTTTAATTCAATAGTTTATTTTTTTTACAGCAATTTTAAGTAATTAATATAAGTTTCCAGTATAGAAATAAAATTAATAATAATAATAATAGTAATAATAATAATAATAATAATAATAATAATAATAATAATAATAATAATAATAATAATAATAATTCTTTATTTTTGGCCTCGCGCCTAAAAAAAGGAACTTTATTCTACAAATGTAGCCTAAACCGTAGCCTAAATTCGTCTCATTCACACAGTGCAGAAAAAAAAATAAAATTAGATTCATTGCTAATGTAAAATAGTTTTATATAAATATCATAATCAATCCTTCATTAACGAACATACTTGACTTTCGCTGAAACTTCCAAGAAAGGTTTGCGAATGATCGTGGTATTTTTTGAAAGTTGTATTATGTAACTTGTTTTATTTATTTTATACGAAAATCGCAACTTTCTTTCGACCATATTTATTCGTCCCATCGATTTCACAGTAATCGCTGTAATTACTGTAATTACCAGACTGCAGATTTTTATGCAAAATAAAAATTGTCTGCACAAATGTAAACATGTTTCTTCTTTCAATAAATATGACAAATTGAAAATAATGTAACAGTTGTTTAATAATCTTGAAATGTTTTGTACTTTCGTATTTGATTACGATAAATGCATGAAATTCGCAGTCTAGTAATTACACCTGAGAATTAATTTTGAGATTTTCTTGAAACATAGCCTGAAAATTGATCTGTGCAACATTTTTTATATTACTTCGGTGCTGTTACGTTTATGATGCAGCAATTAATTATATAGAAGGAATTTGTGGAAAGAAAATATTGAAATACAATTTGATTTTCGCCAGAACAAAAATGCACGAAATGTTTAAAATATCCTATGATCTGTTTTGTAGTTATTTATTCCATGCAACTTCTTTCGAAAACATTTATTTAGCTCTCATTC